GGGGGGGGGGGGGGGGGGGGGGGGGGGGGGGGGGCATTGGGTGGAACTGTTGCAGCTGGCACCCCGTTACCAGACAACATATTGGTCGAGTGTCAGTCAAGAGTCAGTTAGGAGTCAGTTGATTTATTGCCCATGCAGTGTTTTATAATATTGGTTAGTTAAGTATCGGTCAAATGTTCATCTGACAGATCAAACAACAGCCTGTCACAATAGCATTGGTAGTCAGTGTTGGCACTGTAACGGTGAACCATCAGTCGAGTATAATGGTAAGGTATCGTTGGTGTATTGGTCGACAATCAGCATCGCTTGTACAACCACGTCCCCTCGCCTTTCCCTGTGATACAAGGTACCTGTCAACTAACTCGTGGTGGACACTATTGCTTGTTATACATCAGCTGCGGCTGATTCCATAGATCAGTCACTAAATCACAGACTATTTTCATGTATTGGCAGACATCTTGGTTGTCTGTCAGTCAACATATTGGTCGCTATATTGATTGAGTGTCAGTTAAGAGTTAGCCTGAGTATCAGGCCTTCCTAAGGGGATAGGGAAGAGGAGATTTTAGATGGGTCCCTCCCTTTTTCGCTTCCATCTTTCCCCTTTTCCCCAGAAACGCCTGATACTCAGGCTAGTTAAGAGTCTGTCGAGAATCGGTCAATATTACAGACCAAAATGTCAAACGACAGTCGACCGGGGCTGGGTATCGGCTGTTATGTCGACCAAGTGTTGGTGATATATTGGTGAACTGTCAGTAATTGATAGGCAAAGTAATGATCTAAGGTTGACTGACCCAAAAGACTGTAGTGGCTGACTCAGCAAGACTCAGCCAAGAATTGTCCGACACTCTACCACAACTGACCAAAAAAGCAACTGATATCAGTCGATACATCTGTCGACACCAACAAAAGAACATGTGATTCCACATCCCTACCCAATCCCAGACTAGTTATTAACCAGAATTACAGGGTGCCATTCGGGCAAGCTGTACCTAGCATGTACTAGCCTGAAAGTCATTTCAACTAGCCTGAGGAAAAAAGTGATGAGCAGGATTGATCGCAGCTCTTCTGTAATTTGAATTCTCCGAAAAAATCACTTGCCAATTGGGCAAGTTATGAACAGAATTCACCAGCCTGATAGCAAAATCCACTAGCCCCAGGCTATCGGACACCACTTTCTTTGCCACTGCAATTAGCTGTTTCTTCCAACCATAATAAAAAATTATTACTATGACGAACAATATCCCATAAAATAATGAGACTCTAAATCCCTAGACCAAAAAAATCCTCTATTTATCTGTACGTTATACCCTCTCCCAGACTACCATGCTTGAAAATAATACGTGTAACTCTCGGAGCATTTTATAGTCCATTTATAGCAGTCAACCCTGCCTCTTCCCCAGGTCTGTTATTCAAAGAATACTCAAGCAGTGAGGATTAACCAGATGTTAACGTTATTCAGAGAAATTGCACAACACACATCCTGCGACTATTATTTTATTTTATTAATAAATTATTCTGACTGGTAATTTTTATAGTATTGGGGTATTTCTGCTGCTACAAATGAGATGAGATATATAAAATTCATATATAAATAGCAAACTATTTAGGATAAATAAGTAATTATTATTTATATATTTCATTATTATTACTTATCTCTTGAAAACTTTCATGGCCTTGATCAGCTAACCATAATACTAAAGCTCATTATATTTTTAGTAATTCTCATACATACTCACCACTTTAATATTCCCCTAGATGAAGTTAACAGGTGTTGATTAAAAAGTGTGACTGATCTATTACTTTTTAATCTTAGTGAACAAAATTTTTTTGCATAACCATTCATTTTTTTCTTATCTTCAACATTCCACATCTGCATGTGTATAATAACAACTTACAGGTAGCCACACATACCCCTGCTTTTGCATACTCTTTAATTTTTCCTATCATAATTAGGACTTTACAAAAAGAAATTTGCCAATTTCCATCTTTTGTGATTTTTTTGGGCACTATAATTTGGGGTAAAATTTGGTTAGGCAAAACTAAAACTAATAATTTGGTAATTATTTCAACAAAAGAAAACCTGTATGGTCATGTCTGAATGGAGATATTTCTTACTGAATTAATCTCTATACTCTACAACAAGATAGAGGTCCTCGTGCACAAACTGTATGTCCTCCAAGAGTGACTGATCCTGAAGAACTGCTTTCACCAGCACCTGAAGAATCTGTTGTTTCAGTTCCCTCTTCACCTTTAATTCTTCTCTTAAGCTGTGTTGCAAGACCCATAAACAAGTTCTCTACATTGTCTGCTTCTTTTGCAGATGTTTCCATAGCAACACAATTTTCTTTCTCGGCAACTGTTTCAGCACTCCTAAAATCAACTTGTCTCTGATGAACAAGGTCACATTTGTTTCCAACAATGTACATGAGCACTTTTTTGCTGGTGAATCGGTGAACATCCTCAAGCCATTGATTTAAGTTTTCAAATGACTTCCTGCTGGTAATGTCGTAAGTGATTATAACACCGTCAGCATTATGATAATAACTGTGTGTAACTGAACGGAAACGTTCTTGGCCGGCTGTATCCCACACTTGCAGCTACAGAAAAAAAAAAACTCTCAGTACATGATGTATAAAATTATTATAATGTAGTATAAAACCTGGAATAACACAAAACTTGTGACTGTTTCATACTCTTGGCTTTTGAATATAGTTTTGGCTTTTGCGTGCTTCTTATCTTTTATGGTTATTATTGTTGTATATTTTCAGTAATGACTTGCAATATTTAAATTTCCTTTAAAGTAACCCCAAACAATCCACAAATTTATTTTTATTGTTTTAACGTGATAAAAACATAAATTACTTTTACAAAAAGTACATAAAATAAATTGGATTTATACTCAATGCTTAGTTTCTAATTATTTGAATTCAGTAAATGACTCTTTCCCCATTGGGAAAAAGTAATTATAAATAATGGAATTGAAATTAAACATAACACAGAAACCTTTGAAAAGTAGACATATGGAAAAATAATAAACAAACGTAATTTAACAATTACAGGACGGAAGTTTTCAGATAGCCGCAACTGAGATAGAGCGAAAACGAACTCACGCTCTGCACGAAATCAAGAGGAACGTCTGCTCTTGTGCTAAGCCTAATTATGGTTTTGCTCCAAGCATTTCAATTTAAAATATTAGCAGACAAGAATCAGAAGAATATATTGACGTTTTTATGGATACTAGCCAGAAAACGGGTATCAAATAAGTTAAGAAATGATCTCACGGTTTTAAGATGACGTGAAAAGTACAATTCCGGATTTTAAAATCTGCCTGTAAAACTAAACTACCCCATCACACGTTGACTATAATTCACCAAAAAATAGAATGATGAAATCAGTAACTATTGCTTACGTTTTAACGAGCAGGTTTGGAGAGTTATACATTTAAAGTTAATAATAGCTGGTTTTGGTATGCAATTCATAATATTATGGCGTCGTAAATTACAAAACAAACTTTAAAAAATCACGGAAGCTAGCCAAGTAAAAAAAATATTTTTCAACAGCAAAGACTTCTTTTAAAATGCCAAAAATACTAAGCAGTTATAAAAATAATATCACAAAAAAGAAAAATTTGAAGATGGAAAAAAATCATGCGCCATTTTTTAATCCGCAAGCCGAAAATAGCATATCTTCCAGCTGAGTGCAAGCGCAAGCAAGGTGAATGGTTTGCAGTGTAAATCTTCCGGATGGCAACCCAGTTTATACCTTAACTTTTTCGCCGTCTACTTCCACTGTTCTGATTGTGAAATCCACACCGATCGTCGGCCCTTGGGTTGGGGTAAAGAATCCTTTCGTAAATCTTTTTACCAGGCATGTTTTTCCGACGTTTGCATCGCCAATCAGTATAATTTTAAACAGGTAACTGTAGTCCTCCATCAGAGCTGTCTTTGAGCTTGAAAATATTTGCACTGTCCAGGTTATTTGCCTTTTTCTTGCAACGCAATGCTCTTAAGAAATTACTCTGCGATGGCCAGGGGAAACCCACTCTCTTTAAACTGAAATTTTCTCAGATTAGATTGTTACATGTTTCACAATCACGCGCGAAGGAACTAGAACCATTGTTTTCAATTGTTCGGATTGGTCAAGCCTCTAATGACGTCATGCAAAACAACATCGCGCGTGTTTCCGGTAAGCACGATTAATACTTTTTTGCAAATTTGATTTCCGGTTTCGCTGAAGGAAGGTAAGCTATATTCGGAAGTTTGTACGTATTTATAAGCACGTTGCGAGTTCCAACACCCTTAAGTACCACACTTCATTCAAATTTGCCTGTAATATTTGTATAGCCTACATAAACATGCCAGAAAACTGTCAACCCATGGCACAAAATAAAAATATTCCCTGATAAATATGGTCATCAGATTTGCATATAAATTAACACTTTTAGCTTCCCTTCCCTACTGCAAAGCTTTTTTAAGCGTTTATAATTGAATGTACCGATTGTCCATCACTGAGAATCCCAAAAATACTGCACTTTCATACCACAATTATTTTCCAAAATAGATCTCAACCCGGTAAAAGTATTTTACATCTTGAACACATTACAGGAAGTGCGTTTAATCGGGAAAGTAAAAGTACCCGAAGGGAAACAGCGTCCGAATAACTGAAAGATGAGGTCATCGTGAAGGCAACAGGAAAAGGAAATGAGACTGAGAAGTTTGAGGCGGGGAAGACAGTGAGTTGCTGTGGGTAAATAGTAAGGTAAATATAAGCTGAACTGATTAACTCTTGGGTTGTTTCTTCGTCTGTATCCGTGTTTGAAACTTTTATCCTCAACATGAGTTTTAGTGCACTATTGTTTTTACATGCAGTGCTATGCGGTCTGTATATAAAAAGGTATTTTTAATTTAGTTCTGACTTTTATTATTCTTGGGAGGAGCACGGAAAGGAATCAAATTCTTGTTTTCTTTTCTTTCTTTTTTTTTAGCCACCGCCCCCACAAAGTTTTGTACGGTGGATAGTGCTCCGAGCTCGAGGTAGGTCAGGACGAGGTACCTTTTTCATTAACCGTCCACAGGAAATGAAAGGGTTTTAGTTAAAAACTACATGAGGGTGTTTTGAGTTTCTTTTTCCTGAGTACTTAAATATACTGTTTTCGCACGCTTGTATCTTCGGGGGTGTTGCAGGAGTATGACCGAAAGTCTGAATCGAATGCTCCAATAACCCCAGGGGGAGTGGATAAGAGGGTTACTTTCGATTTTCAGTGACGGGGATGATAGAAGTTTTTGGGGGGTTTTATAGTTACCAATAGGGGAATTTTTTGGTAGGAATTCGAAATTTGGCAAGTATGTTTTGTGTGTGGCTTCAGTTAGGCAGAGATTTGAGGACAAATCCCGTATGTATTACGCTAGTCAAATACGATCAAGACTTGTTTTGTGATTACTATGTCCCGGGGTCACGGGCATCCAACCTCGGGCATCCAACAAGGCTTTTTCCTTTTTTTGGGGGGGGGGGGAGGGTGGTGCTGTAAGCCCGGGGGGGGATTTTGGGGGGAGGGGGGGGGGGAAATTTTTGTTTCCTTTCCCCCTTTCTGTTTGTTTAGGGTCCAAAGTACCCCTCGGGCTGAAAAGGGGGTTGTGGTGTAAATTGACGCGTTTTTTATTTTAAAGAAACTTTTAAAAATATTTACTAAAACTGGTTTGCTATTCATTATTTACTTTTTGCTTCANTTAATTAAAGAAATCCCTAATTTTTAAATTCCTTACCCCTGTCCTGAATAAGGTACCTCCTTTGGGCCGGTAGTCCATAATAAGGAGTACCCTCCTGAGTAGCCTCCCCGCAGACGTCCTTTGGGGTTCGTTTGTCACGCATTCATTCAATGAATTCATTCAATGAATGTGTGACAAACGAACCCCAAAGGATGTTTGCAGGGAGGCTACCTCCTGTGTCCAGTTGTTCGAAGGCTAATTAGCGCTAACCCCGGGGTTAAATTTTAATCCGTGGTTCTTATTCTTTTGTTTAAACGCATTTTATCAGATAATTTTCTCTATTCCTTTTTGGACCGTCCCGCCCGTCGTCAAATTGTTGACAAAAAGAAGCAAACTGAATTTTCCTTTTAAGCTTTCATAAGTGATTTCAAATTTCGCTATCTTAACCCCGCTTTGAACAATCCAGCCGAGGCTGTAACCTTCCTTTTTGTTTGTCAGGCATTCCTTCCCAACGTTAAGAACGTTGATGAGGAGGGTTGTGTGATATGAGTGAAAGAAAAAATGATGATAATCACAGCCTGGGGAATGTAAAATGAGACCCCTGAGCCCACACCTGCTGTTTTTACTCTTTTTCCACAAAACCTTTATACCAATAACCTGTTCAAAGGCTCAATGAACTTGCCACTTTCTTGTATTGAGGAAGTTTACTAAATTTTAAATCAAAAAAGTGCTCAAACTCAATGAAATTGGAATCTATCATATATTTGTATAAGAGCTATTATTATTATTTCTTTACAGTGGTATCCAATTTAATGCTAAAAATTAAATCTTTAATGTATTACTTACTATTTACTTATAAAGTGCTATGTGCAATAATTCTGGAAGTATAAATATTTATATAAATTTAGTTCCTAACATCTTATATTGACATTTTATTACAAAATTACTCAATAATCTATACTATAATAACTCAAACATTGTTATCAGGGCCTTGTTGAATTCAAATTTCGTTCTAACCCTGGGGTAACTTAACCCAGCTTTGAACAACCCGGCACTGTACTACTGTATTAAGCATGTGAGATTTAGAATCACATTTTTTGCAAACTAATTCTTATGGATGGAGCTGGAAAGAAACTACTTATTTCTGTGTACAGATAACAAACAGTAAATGGCTAAAAAGTAAACAAAAACCTTAAAATGGAAACCTTGGTCATGCAGTTTAAATTTATGTTTGCTGTTTGGCATAAACATGATTCTAAATTTTTCTTATCATTTTAACTACTTATTTACTAAAATTCTTCAGGTTGAGCTATATTGGTAAAGGATGCAATTCCAGTTCAAATTATAGCAGGCATCAAGCAAGCCATTAATAATCAAATTTACATGATCAACTGAGCTGACCATGATGGACGTGAATCTTGAAAACTATTATTGTTCCACCTAGAATAGCATTTTTGCTAATTGTGTGGACAAGACAACTGTCAATTGTTGCATGAAATTCATTAAAGATTGTTGTTGTTTTATGTTTTTTTGTTTTACACACCAAGTCAAAGGCCAACCAATGCTCATGGAAAAGACTGGAATACCAGTATAGAGTATGAAATCTTGCATGAGTCTTGATGGACAACATCTAGTTCTCTTTTACTTTTGCATTTGGGAATGTTGTGTAAAAAAGGATTTCTAGTAAAAAGCTACTGCATGATAGAAGAATGATGTAGTGCTCTTAATTGATGCACAGGCACACCAAGATTGAATTATTATTATTCAATAATCAATGGGCTTGGGGTTCTTGTGACCAACAAGGGATACATTCACCCCTAAAAACCCAATCAAACTTAATCAGCTGAGCAGTATTCTGAAGTATGCTTAATGAAATGAGTATACACATCTGAAAGTCTAATGAGCAAGAGTGACTGATTTAGTGGAAGCATGAAAATTATATGTTTTGACTGATACAAAAAAAATCCCTTTATAACAGTTTTCTTTTAAACCACACTTCAAAGAGACTAAGGGTTACTGGATTTCCTCAGATAATAGGTAGGGGCAACTATTCTTTTTTTCACACCAAAAAAAGGCAATTATTCAAGGAAGGCAACTATTTGCAGGAGGCGATTATTTCAAATATTGCTCACTGGAAGTCATACTCTATATATTTTGTTTTATTATTCCATTAAATAAAAAAAAAATAACCACATCAAATAAACTGAACATGGGTTTTTTAAGTGTTGCAAATTTGGTTCCTTGATTAATTTTCAATGTCAATATCCTTGACGTCACAACTTAAATCATCACTGATCAGTTTTGCTGCATCAGACTCCACTTCAGCTATGTTTGTTATCCCGCTTGTCAATTTTTAACTTGCCAGGGAGGGGATAAAAAAAAAGAGAAGATGGCAAAAGGGGTTGGGGGGCCATTATTAGATGGAAGTTATGATTTTAAATATTTCTGTCAAAGGGGGGTTATTATTAATTTTGAGGGACGTGATTAATCGAGAGATGGTTATTATTCGAGGAAATACTGTTCATTAAGTAAAAAAAATAACAGCACTCACCAGGACTTAAGCTTGTCTACTTTCTACCCCAATATTAACTGTCAGTTCCCACAAAATAGCAGTCTGGGCCCAGTTGTTTGAGGGACGATTAGTGCTTAACCTGGGTTTCTTTTCTTCTATTCAAAAGCATTTTCTTGGCATTTTCTAGCATTTTTAGAGCGTCCAATCATCAACTTATAGACAAAAAGTATTAAAGCTGAAATGCTTTTTAAGATTTCAAATCTCAATTCAAATCTCACTCTTACCCTGGGTTATCTTAATGCAGCATTAAACAACTCGGCCCAGTGTATCGGTATGATTCTTACGCTGTGAGATCTGACAGGATAGTCTTCCCATTTTGACAACAAAATACTCATAATATTATTGCCCTAAGCTGCTGTGTTACTACTGTAGAGTAATTTCACTTCACCTGCAAAATAGCGAGAGAGTGGTACACAGTGCTTGTCCCTTAGGGTTTAGGGTTTAGGGTTAGGGTTAGGGTTAGGGTTAGGGTTAATTCTTAAAGGAATTTGTTATAAATTATTACCAAAAACATTAAGTTCTACACAGTAGATACTCATTTTCTCTCACTGTTAGTAACTAGTGATAGATACTTCCAAATACATTTAGACGTACTAACAACTATATATGCATCCTACTGCTCATCAATAAAAATTAAAATTTTGACAACTTCATGACGACTCACAACATTTCCTTTTCTGTCTCTCTTCATGTTTGAGTTTAATCCTCTTTGAGTTTCTTCCCTTTTTTGATCTTCTTGATGCTGACCTAGTGCTGTCACTGAAGGAATCAATGCTGGAATAATTTGTCGGCCGGTCCATGAAAGATGATCTTGACTTCAAAAGTTTATGTGAAAGAGTCAGAAAAATAGACTCAATAGTCTCCAGTTCTTCATCATTTTTGGTTGAAATTTCCCACACTGGCATACTATGAAGATCAGCAAATTTTCTAGCTTGATTTGAACTGACTATTCTCTCATGAATAAGGTCACATTTGTTGCCAATCATAAGTTTTGGAACTTCTCCTTCGTCAGAGATTCCATAGTGATCATACTCTTGCAGCCAAGTTGCGAGTGCTCTAAAAGAACTTTCCCTTGTGATGTCATACATAAAGATTACAGCACTCACATTTCTATAGTAATGCACAACCATACTTTTGCGGAACCTTTCTTGACCAGCAGTATCCCAGATCTGCAGCTGTACATAGTAAAAATAAAATAATTTAGACATTAATTAATACTAAAAATTCATGTCCTAAATCTAACAAATCATAGTAAACAGTTCATCAGATACTATTAAGTTATGATTATGATTTTTCCAAGAAACTTCACCAAAAATGGATGTTAGGGTGCATTCCTTTGGGATGATTAGGATCAGTAATGTGAGATCACTTTAAATGCATCACGGTTCATCAACTGAACTGACAGATCTTTTCCCAGGGTAGATTCATCAGATCTTTTAATTTGCTATGAGCTGAGGGATCTTGGATAACTGATCCTGATCATCGAGATATCATTTGTTAACGATAATTAATTAACTAGTAAGGTTAGCTATTAGCATCAGTGATCTATGTTAACCAAAAGCGAAGCTCAAGCGGGTCATCTTTGTTCAGATGTGGACCGGAGACATAAGCTCTTACCCATCCCTCCCTCCCTCAGTTCTAGTTAGTTTATTGTACACACTTTGACTCTTTCGTCCGTGCTAAATTCAATATATTTGCCCAAAATGTCATGTCTGTCATGATTACGTGGGTTGATTTTAGCTAATGGAATGCACACATAGAAACTATTATGGAATGGGTAATTTTGAAGGTGATAGCCAGGATGAATAATAAACTTCTCCTTAGCTTCATCCCTGGTCATTGGTTGCAGCCACAGATTGGTTGTGTTAACAACTGAAGGTCATTTATTATGAGAGAGAATGACTGGAGAGCTTTTTTTGGGCCAGAAAAAAATTGTCACATTAACAAGATTGCAGGGGTTTAAAATAAAAAATTAAGAAGCCAGTAGGATTGGCTTTATCAACAATATACTCAATATACTCCAACAAAAATCTTGGGAAAAAGCCTTTTATTATTCAACATTTGTAAACTTCCGTAATATTGATTGTTATTTTAATTTTCCACCTTATATTATTTTGTATCCGTCGCCATAATTTTTATGCCATCTTCAAAAAATTGTAATTGAGGAGGCCCAATTAACATAAGCTTTATAGTTTCCTTTAGGCCTCCTCACCATTTCTTCCTACCTTTTTTTTGGCATCTTTTTGTAATTGTAATCATGTGGCAAATAAATAAATACAAATACAAGTCTGGGGATACTGGCTTCCCCAGGAAATTTTGAAGCCCTTCAATGCAATTCCAGCATTTTGGGCACTAAATTAAGAAGATAAATATTTTAAAATTGGGGCAAAAAGTATGTTCAAGTCCATCAAATTGAAAACTTAACTCAATGCAGTTCATTCCAAGCTTCCCATGCGGGGGGGAGGGGAAGGGGGGAGGAAGAAGCCAACTTAACTGGATAAAGTAGCTGCGCTGACACATTTCGTTGGTTTTCAGGGCTTATTGAAAATTACTTGGGAATTTTTTGGATGGGTAGGTGCCGCCCGCGACTCCAAATTGGCACCCCATTCTAAAAAATACTTTCCCCTAAAACTGATACCCCTTCTAGAAATGGCATAATTTTTTAAACCCCGTTCTAGAATTCACCCTAAAACTGATACCCCATTCTAGAAATGGGCCAATTTTTTAATACTCCGTTCTAGAAAGTTTGTAAATTGAAATAGCCCTGTTGTTTTAAAAAGATATTTCTTTATTTGTTTGACTTATACATCAAATAAATGCTTCATTATAATCAGCAATAATTTTAAGCAGAAGACAAAGTTGTGATCCACAAGTTTTTATACCCTGTTCTAGAAAACGCCTCTGAAATGGATACCCCGTTCTAAATCAGGAGCTTTAAAATCATGACCCCTTGGGCGGCACATACCCGTATAGGCAATGCATAGGAGTACCCCCCCCCCCCC